CTTTGCTAAAGCTTGAGCAAGACTTCATTGAAATGAGTGGATATCTGTTTATTTCAATAGACTTTGAATTAGTACCCTGCCTGGTTTTAAAGAAAAAAGGAGAGTATAATGATTAACAAATTAGAACATGTTTAGGTTAACTCATGAGAGTTAGCACTTTGTAGCTGTTACCACTGTAAAAAGAATAGTTTCAGGGAATCCTTTCTACTCAAATTAGCTTCATACAGTAGCAATAAATGCTAGGTACTACAGTTATTAGTACTCTATAATATCTAAATTAGATATGATAGGTAAACAAACCACTGTATTGATCCTATTTATTGGAAAGAAGTTTTCTGGTCTACAGTGCTGAGGATAGTAAATACATTTAGTAGTGATGTCACCTTTGCAATCCCTTTGCATGTCTGTAACACACTTGCATAATCATTTGACAGACCTTATCTTATCTCAGTTTTCATCCAGCATTTTATGAGAATTTCTTTTGTTGGAACAGCACCATTGGAATGGGCTGAGTCACTATAATATCCTCAGAGCACTTTGACCTTGATTTTACATCCAAACTCTACCCCTTACAGGAATTAATCATTGTTGATCATTCAAAATCATATGCTTAACTTTCCTCCCCAAGTTTGACTGTCTCTAGTATTTTTCTCTAGCTGCTCCTCTGATCTATCTCCCTAACAGCCTATAGTCAACAAGCTACATTGCTGCAATAAATCAATAGCTTTATGTAGGAGTCTATTACAGATAGATGGGTCTGAGAAAATGAAAAGTACTTCATGTCGGTTTATTATGGACATAACTAGGGGCTGTCATGGAGGTCAAAATCCACTATTTCTGCTAGTTAGTAGGGTATCTTATGTGCCATTATTTTATTTTTTTAACAACAGAAGATGAAGAGTGACTTGAAATCTGCTGTCTAATTCGCTGAGCTTGTGAAACCTTATATTCAGTTAGACAGCATTTCTCTGCTAGCATGTTTGAATATAACAATTAACTTCTGAATGATGCATCCGATCGATTGTGAATGTGATGCTCTAGGCATCAATGGGCAGAATCCTATTGCCTCTGATCAAACCCAGAAAGGAGAAATTGTGGAAACGGGGGAGGATCAGAAGCCACACACCAGAGATCCCTTAGTATTCAGTCAGCAGAGCTACCAACTTTAGCTACCTCCATCATTATCTATAGACCAGCTAAGTTAATGACCCAGTGCAAGGCAACCAGTAACACATTCCAGTTTATAATAGCTCCTCATTTTAGCTCTGCTAATCCTCCCAATACTGGGTATGTGGGACTTGTAGAATGTCCCCCAAAGCAGAGGGGGATGAGAGGGTGCCGAGAGGGCGTGTGTGTGTGTGGGAAAACAGAAATGAAGGAATGCAAGAAGCTTTGGGGGAACCCAGTGTACTAAACCAGCTCAAGTAACAGAGTGGAGGGAGGGATAGCTCAGTGGTTTGAGCACTGGCCTGCTAAATGCAGTGTTGGGAGTTCAATCTTTGAGGGGGGACAGTTAGGGATCTGAGGCAAATCTGTCAGGAATGGTACTTAGTCCTGCCATGAGGGCAGGGGACTGGACTTGATGACCTCTCAAGGTACTTTCCTGCTCTATGAGAGATACACTTTTTTTTGAAAATATGTGTAACCCGCTAATGATACAGAACACTTTGACTGACATGTATTTAAATCACCAGCCAATTGTCTACTTCATAGGTTTAAATATAAAATTGCCCTGAGGGAAACAATGGTTTTACTAGAGACAGGGTGACCGTGTTTCCCTAGGCCCAATACAGGACACTAAAGGGGGTGGGAGGGTGCTGCCAGTGCTCAGGGCTTTAGCCCAATGTGTGTATGGGGCGGGGGAGTTCCAGCAGTCAGGGCTTCAGTCTTGCAACAGGGAGGGGCCACTGGTGCTCAGGGCAAAGCTCCAAGTGCTGGTAGCTCTTCGCCCATCCGACTCCAGCCCCACAGTGGGGGGGGGGGAATAGAACAGGGGGGGCTGAGCCCCGAAGTGGGAGCCACACAGAAAATGGGGCTTCATTCCTGCAGTGGCAAAAGGGCTTCAGCCCCACAGCAACGGCTGTGTGGGAATGGGGCTGCAGCCAGTGGTGGGGGTACCAGAGAAAGGGGTTTCAGCCCTGGGGGATGGGTGGTGCCAGCAGTCAGGGCTTCAGCACCATGTTCTGGAAAGGCTGGAAGATTTCCCCCCTTCTTTAGGGTACACATGGAGGGAAAACACTGCTACCTGGTTTTTTTTCTATGTTTCTCCCTCTGCACCCTGCCTGACTCCAGACACCACATGGTGGTGCCTGCTTTACTGCCAGTCACAAATAGGCAGCTGTGCTGACTGGAGAACTCAAGGGCCAGCAGCAGACATGCAAATATGGGACATTTTGCCCCCCTTTTTTTAAAAAAATGGGGATGCCTGCAAGACATCTTAAATACAGGGCAGTCCTGGTAAAAAAGGAATGGGTGGTAATCCTAACTAGAGACCTCTACCACTGCCTAAAAGAAAGGCAACCATGAAAATAATTAACAATTCCTAATTACCTGGTCATTTGTTCCTCAAGTTTCATCAAAGGATCTGAAGAAATATTCACTAAAAAAACCCATAAGAAATTGTTAAATATATACACATTAAAGCATGTTTCATAAATTTTCTTATAAAGTCCTAATATTTCAAGGTATTGAGCAAATCCTAAGCAGCACAACCTAACATAGGCTCCCATTGACTTCAATGGGAGTTGAGGGTGTACAAAAAGTTGCACGATTAGGTTTTAAAGGCCAAAAGTGCAGACTTGTACTCTGATATGTTAGGTAACTGAGTTATTAAACTAATTATTGCTAATTGAGGATATGAAAACTGCTGTTGCTAAAGCATATTGGTGAGAAGAAAGTGATCTAAACTACTCTCTTGGCTTCACCACTGACTTGCTTAGTGACCATAGCTTAACATCACTTTGCTTCAATTTCTCCAGTTCCGATATGGGGATATATTACCTCCTACTCCTACATATAAAAGTTTTGGATAAACTTTTATTAATTAACATTTGTAAAGTACTGTACTTTGAGATGCTTGGATACATAGTTCAATGAAAAGCAAATATTATTATTGCAATTATGATTGATATTGCAGCCTTTATTCTTGCTATAATTATTAAATAAGCATTGTACTCACATTGTTCAGTTTATATCTTAAGCATCATGAATTATGCATGTGTGTTTTATGGCATAAGATTCCAAATAAAAAAGGACTGCTACAAGACTTGTTTTCTACAATAATTATTTAAATGGTGGAAAGCATTACTGGGAAACAGATAATGATTGGAGCTTTGACACTTGCACAAAAAATGTAAATCTTTCCCTTTCATTCTAGATAGAGCATATGGGATGATGCTTGTGAGGAAAGCAAAGGAGCATGTTTTGGAAAATGATCAACAATGAATACACAAATTCACTAAGTACTCAAGAAGTGTAATACAGGTGGAACCTCCCTTGTCGAGCACCCTTGGGACCGGAGTGGTCCCCGACAAGGAAATTTGCTGGTCCAGGGAAGGTCAGGTATCCGGGCTCTCCCAGGGCTCCCCTTCTGGCAGCTGCCTGCGAGAACCTGGAGACCTGATCTCTTCTGGCCCATCTGCCTGGTTCTGCTGCCCCCAGCCCACTTACAGGGTTCTGCTTCCAGCCCCTAGCCCTGTGCGGTGCGGCAGCTGCTTCCAGGGTTCCCAGAGAATGTAAGTCTTGAGAGAAATTTAGGAAATTCTAAGTGCATGTAAAGTCATTAGTCTAGCCACCATTTACTGAAGGCTATGTGAAATAAGGGATTTCTAGAAAGCCAGAAAGTGTATTAAAAGTAAATTGATAAGAGCTAATGTGGTCTAGCAGGGGGAGAATACACGTTTTAGCAGAATCTTCTACATGGCTCTGATTAACGCAACAAGATGACACAGAGGCTGTGTCTAAACTACATCCCTTTTCTTGAAAAAGGGATATAAATTAGACACTTCATAATTGTAAATGAACCCGGGATTTAAATTTCAAGAGTAAAGGATCTTTCAAAAAAGGGTTTTATTTTCTATCAATCCCTGTCTAAACGGCCATTTCTTTCGAAAATCCCCGTTTCAAAAAAACTGCGGCCGCCATTATGCTAATGAAGCATGGAAAATTTAAATCCAGGCTTCATTTGCCATTTCAAAGTGTCTAATTTACATCCCTTTTTCAAGAAAAGGGATGTAGTTTAGACACAGCCATAGATGACATTGCTGAAAAAAAGCCAACAACTGTGAAGTTCTCTCCCTTAAGCCATTATAAAACGCATTTTTTTGTTAAGAACATAACGGCCACACTAGGTCAGACCAATGGTCCATCCAGCCCAGTATTCTGTCTACCGACAGTGACCTTGTTCTCAAGCAAGGTACAAACATTATAGGAAAGGAGAAGCTTCTTCCTTTATTTCCTGAAAACCTTTCTTATTGGGTGCATATGAATGGACTTCAGTCTCAGCACTTCATATTTAAGTTATATACATGCACTGAAGGTGTAATCAATGTATTTTGTTCTGACAGGGACCCAGATATTAAAGCCAGAAGGCTTCCTGTTCTAACAAAGATATTAATGAATCAGATTTTTTTTGTCCCTCAAAGTAAGGTGGTAGGAGTACATGTCTGGAGAACTGAACCTGACACTGAAGTCTTTGGGGCAGGAACTTTGTGCTTCTGTTTGTCTATAACTGCATTAAAATGTATATTTTAATGTTAAAATATGTATATTTAATAAATAAAAATAATTATTAGTATCATGCTTATCTTGTTTGCCTTATTGGCTCTGGCTTTAAACTACATAATTTAATAATTTATTTACTAATATCTCTGTAATTATTGTAACTTTCACATTGCCTCTTATTTTTGAGGTATTATATATGTATTTTGCCTCTTTTCCATATACCTCGTATCACAATTTCACATTTTTACACTTTCTTCTTCCCTTAACTCCACATCCAGCATCACAGGACATTCCAATTTCTATGACACTGCAAAGAAAGTACAAGCGCTGCAGAAATATTTTAGGATGGCATGGAAACAGGATAAAATTAACTCCGGCATATCTCCTCTGTAATAAATGGACCACAGAGTAATTTGGCTCATCCAGTAGGAGCAAGCTGACTCCAGAGGCTAAGATGCCATTCCATTCTGTTTTTATTGTAATGCAAAAAAATTGTTCTTGCCATGCAAGCTGTATTCTAATGTCACCAATTAAAAAAGAGGTGATGTCTTACCTAAAGAAGTTCCTGAAGTAACAAAGCTATCTGTCATATCACCAAAGATTATCATGACGATTGGGAGAGCTGCTCCATGTAGGATTGCCATGGCACTGCCTAGCACCATTAGTAATTTATCCAACCAATCAGAGTACCGAAACTGAAAATGGAAACACCTTCATGTGAAAAGAGTCATTGCTGAAAATTACTCTAATTTCATGCACTAAAAAGGGGCTAACACAACTTAAGGGATACGCAGTAAAGATAACAAAATCAGAAAAGCTTAAGGCTTTTGTACAGTTTTTATATTATTCCACTCTACCCTATTAAAATGTACATTGAAAAAAATAATTTAAATTTATAGAAATAAGCCACACTGATATAAGGACCTTTATACTTAGGACCTTACCAAATTCACAGTCTATTTTGGTCACAGTCATAGGATTTTAAAAATAATAAATCTCATGGTTTCAGCTATTTAAATCTGAAAATTCACCTTGTTGGAATTCTAGGAATCCTGAACCAAAAAGGAGTTGTGGGAGAGGTCAAAGTTATTACAGGGAAGGTAGATGTGGTGCTATTACTCAAGTTCTGCATTACTGCTGGTGGCAGTGCTACCTTCAGAGCTGGGTGGCTGGAGAACAGAGACTATTGGCTGGGATCCCAGTTCTGAAGGCAGAGCTTCTGTCAGCAGCAGTCTAGATGTCTGTATAGTGTGGCATGGCATTGGCACCCTTACTTCTCCACTGTTGCCTCCAGAGCTAGGCTCTTAATCAGCAGTCACTGCTTTCCAGCTGCCCAGCTCTGAAGACAGCAGCACAGAAGCAAGGCTGGCATGGTATACTGCTGCTGGTGGGACACTCGCTTGAGAGCTGAGTGCCCAGTCAACAGTGACTGCTCTCCGGCTGCTTAGCTCTGAAGACAGCACAGAAGTAAGGTCTGAAGTAGAGTAACCTTGTGAGCCCCCACAACTCCCTTTTGGATGAGGATCCCCAATTTGAGAAACTTTGATTTTCCTAATGAAATCTGTATAGTATAAGGTCAAAACACACAAAAGACCTGAGTTTCATGAAGGAGACCAGATTTCATAGTTTATGATGCATTTTTTTATGGCAGTGAATTTGGTAGGGCCCTTTTTATACTGGATGACTGTGGCCATACCAGAGGGTTGTACCACTAGAGTTATACTAGTTCCTAAACCAACATAATGGAAGTAGTACAAAAACATGTAGAGATCATCATACAACTTACTCATTTGACCACGTGATGTCCTCATGAGATACTTGCAATACAAATTTCAATGTGACAGTAAGAAAAGTAAGACAGGTATTTCTTGATGTATTATAGGCATTATCCAAAGCACATTGACTTCACTTGATTTTGGGTCAGACCTTACATTTAATAAGAGTACTAAGTCTGGCTCTCCATACCACTCCACTTCATTAACACGCACTTGTGTCACTGGATTGTAATGGTGTAAAACTGGTGTGGCAAAGTAAAGAAACAGACCGATTGTTCTTTCACCACGGTAAGCTGGAGCTTCATTAATATTAATGCAGATATCATATTAGTGCATAATCCAATTAAAATGAACAAGATGTTTAGAGGGATTTTGTGCTGCTGAATAATATTAAGTAGTATCTACTGTACAGAATATTTTCTATTTAGAATAGTGTGGTTCTTGTTAGACAATTTTACCCTTAAAATCCCACTAAAATCGACAGAAATAAGATCTTGAGGTCAAAATTTGGCCCTTATTTTGCAATCAAAGAGAAACATTCTTTCTAGGTACTTGAGCTCTTAGTGCAATTTAGCCACCTTGAACACACATGTACTGGTATTAAAATGCTTATACCAGTGTATCTTATTCTAGTTCAGAAACCATAATAAGCTATACTAATATAAAACACCTTTTTACTAGTGTAATTGCATCTACACTAGTGTTTGTTTACTGATACTATTTTGTTGGTAAATTATAATACCCCCCAATCAACACAGTAAGACAGATAAAACTTTTAAGGCCAGGTCTACACTACAAACTTTTGTCTGCATAGTTATGCTGGTCAGAATATGAAGAGGTGTGGTCCCTGACTAAGGAAGCTGTGCCAGCAAAATCCCATAGGGAGATGTAGTTATACTGGTACAATAGCAGAGATACCCAGGAAAGTCACTTTTACCAGTGCAGCATACTTTACTTGGAGGAGAAGGAGGGATAACCGTGTGTGGAATAAGCTATGCAGACAAAAGCATTGTTTGGCTGATATAAGCTGTTTCCACACAGATATACCAGAAATGTAGACCAAGTCTTATTAGTAAGAATTGAAACATTAGAAAACGTTATTTTAAATATATTATTAAACCTGAATATATACATAGCATATATCTTACCATTGTTAATGGGCTGACCGTATTAGGTTTCTTTGGCTTCTTCTTGTCCTCATTGCTAAATATGAATGATTTTTTTCAATGAATTGTAAAAGAAAAAATATTTAACTGCAACTAACTTTTAAAGTAATAATACAGTTAAATCTAAACAAAATTAAACAAGGCAAGAGAATATAAAATGAACATGGTTCGTAGATCATTCTTAGTATACTTCTGTAAATGTTGTCTGTAAAGTGTTTTTAAAAACCTCTAAATATGTTAATGATCAGCATCATGGTACTTCTCAAAAAGTGATTCAGAATTCACTAATAGTAGTTCCCTGTAATCTTTTGAAAAATATTTGCTAGTCTACATATCTTGATTTTTTAATTGAATCCCTACTTTTGGCAAATGTGTAGATTATCTCCAAATATCTCCAAGTTGACTGAAAGGTAGGATGACCAGGTAGCAAGTGTGAAAAATCAGGACAGGGGCCAATGGGTAATAGATGTAAATATAAAACAAAGCACCAAATATTGGGGCTGTTCCTATAAAATTGGGACATCTGGTTACCCTGCCCAAGGGTCAGAGTACTGCAGAGATCAAAAAAGGGTTAAGCTCCAATCCATACAGAGGAATCTATGTACATATGTGGAGTCCCATTTACTTCAGTGTGACTGTCAGTGTAAGAATCCTTCTGCATATATTAGCTTGCAGGATTTGAGCTCTAGTTTCCAAGAAAGCAAGGTATTGAGTAGAATCTGTTACCAAGGAAAGGAGACAACTATACGAGGAAAATACAAATGGGAAGGGCAAAGTGTAACCAGTTGTAATGGTCACATATATAGTACAACAGGAAAAAAAATACAATTTGCTGGGAAGTTCCCCTTTCCTAGGCTCTTTCAGTCCTAGACTTCTATGGTTTATCTGGAGTTATTTCACTTTTAGCATTATTACAACACAATCTGGTGTCCATGAAGCATTACACTGATGATTCACTGCAAAAAACACCAGCTGGAGTTATATCATGCAACAAAGTGACAAAGCCAAACTTAGTCTCAATCACGCAAACAGATCACTCAGCTGAACCAATGGTAGCATCAGTAGGATTTTTTTTCTATAATTCCTTTGTGTAGATAAGGCTTTATGACAGTACTATAGTACTATTATAATGACGCAATGCTGTCATGAATATAGCAAGGTTCACATACAAAATAAATAGTTGCAGCTTTCTGGCCAATCAGTTAGATGAAATAAAACAAAGCTGCTGATCATCAGCAGTTGCAGGTAAAGCAGTACTCCACAGTTCATGAACTCTAGCAACAAGTGGTATCATCCCATTACTTCTAAAATTAGAAAAATGTGTCTAGTCATTGAGCGCTGAGACCTAATTAATATCCAGTTAAAAATATGACAAATAGTACCAACATTATACTGCTTTGTATTAGTTTGTCTTTTCCTGATGGCTGGTCTACACTAGAAAGTTGTTGGCTTAACACCACCACGCAGGGCTCTGAAAAGTGTCACATCCTATCTGATATAAAACTGTTTAGAATAGTCAAGACAGAAGCAGACTGTGAGGGACTCCAAGAAGATCTCACCAAACTGAGTGATTGGGCAACAAAATGGCAAATGAAATTTAATGTGGATAAGTGTAAGGTAATGCAAATCGGGAAAAATAACCCCAACTATACGTACAGTATGATGGGGGCTAATTTGGCTATGACAAATCAGGAAAGAGATCTTGGAGTTATCGTGGACAGTTCTCTGAAAACTTCCACACAGTGTGCAGCGGCGGTCAAAAAGGCAAATAGGATGCTAGGAATTATTAAGAAAGGGATAGAAAATAAGACCCAGAATATCTTACTGCCCCTGTATAAAACTATGGTACGCCCACATCTTGAATACTGTGTACAGATGTGGTCTCCTCACCTCAAAAAAGATATTTTGGCCTTGGAAAGGGTTCAGAAAAGGGCAACTAAAATGATTAGGGGTTTGGAACGGGTCCCATATGAGGAGAGGTTAAAGCGGCTGGGACTTTTCAGTTTAGAAAAGAGGAGACTGAGGGGCGATATGACAGAGGTCTATAAAATCATGAGTGGTGTGGAGAGGGCCGATAAAGGAAAGTTATTTATTAGTTCCCTAAATAGAAGAACTAGAGGACACCAAATGAAATTAATGGGTAGCAGGTTTAAAACTAATAAAAGGAAGTTCTTCTTCACACAGCGTGTTGTCAACCTGTGGAACTCCTTGCCAGAGGAGGCTGTGAAGGCTAGGACTATAATAGAGTTTAAAGAGAAGCTGGATAAATTCATGGAGGTTAGGTCCATAAAAGGCTATTAGCCAGGGGATAAAATGGTGTCCTTGGCCTCTGTTTGTCAGAGGCTGGAGAGGGATGGCAAGAGACAAATCGCTTGATCATTGTCTTCGGTCCACCCTCTCTGGGGCACCTGGTGCTGGCCACTGTCAGTAGACAGGATACTGGGCTAGATGGACCTTTGGTCTGATCCAGTTCGGCCATTCTTATGTTCTCATGATATAATTAAGCTGACCTAAGTCTCTAGACACTTACAGATCAAGAG